AAAATTTTGGATTCAGAGAGAACCTCAACACGTAGATAAAATGTAACCCTGATTTGAGTTCTAGAGCATGTCCAGGGCTCTTCTGCCCAGCTTGTGAGTGTGTGGTAGGGAAACTACTCAAAAGTCCGGGAAACCTGTTGAGAAGACAGGTCTCGGAACCGTGGATGGCTTGCCAGCTGGAAGGACACACAGCCTCGGAGAAGCCCAAGGCCACAATGCAGGTGAGGAAACGTAGATAAAATGTAACCCTGATTTGAGTTCTAGAGCATGTCCAGGGCTCTTCTGCCCAGCTTGTGAGTGTGTGGTAGGGAAACTACTCAAAAGTCCGGGAAACCTGTTGAGAAGACAGGTCTCGGAACCGTGGATGGCTTGCCAGCTGGAAGGACACACAGCCTCGGAGAAGCCCAAGGCCACAATGCAGGTGAGGAAGACTCACAAGCTTGTGAGACCAGCCTCCGTCACTCAAGGGCCTGGGTTTGGGTGTGTGCTACGTGGCTTTAGAGGGAGGCTTTAATGAGATCATCCTTATACTTAGCACAATACTTGTTCAGAGAATGCATTCAGTGCACAGTAGCTATTGATACTTGTTCGAGTCAATAAGCCACAGAGCACTATACCAGCCCCTGTATAAGAACTTGAGCCCTTGAGAAGACATGCACATAAGTCTTGGGGAATCCACCTATACACAAACCCATTCAAACCTTTTTGGGTTTGGGCCAACAGTTACAAGGGGTGCTGCCAGGACTTGAGTAGAATGCTGATCTCCTGTAGATGCAGTTATGGAAATGTAAGTTTTATTTCTGGAAAACCACTTATACCATAGAAGTACCATATATATAATACATTGCTACAGGCATATGCTTAATATGCCTGTAGCAATAAATATCTATTAATAAATATCTATTAAGTATTAAACCTAAATACTTAATAAAAAGGTAATCTTGGTATATGCGCATCTGAAAGTGTCACAGTGGAACCCATTAGTTTGTACCATTAGTATGCAGTGATAATCATAATTTATAAAAAATATTAAAAATGTTCTCTTGGGAGGGTTGATTCATCCTCCATTGTTCGGGACTCGGGGCGCCATGAGGGGCGACAGAGGCCGCGGGCGCGGGGTGCGCTTCGGCTCCCGAGGAGGCCCCGGAGGAGGGTTCCGGCCCTTTGTGCCACACATTCCATTCGACTTCTATCTGTGTGAAATGGCATTCCCCCGTGTCAAGCCAGCACCTGATGAAACTTCCTTCAGTGAAGCCTTGCTGAAGAGGAATCAGGATCTAGCTCCCAATTCTGCTGAACAGGCCTCTATCCTTTCTCTGGTGACAAAAATAAACAATGTGATTGACAATTTGATTGTGGCTCCAGGGACATTTGAAGTGCAAATTGAAGAAGTCCGACAGGTAGGATCATATAAAAAGAGAACGATGACTACAGGACACAATGTGGCTGACCTGGTGGTCATACTAAAGATTCTCCCAACATTGGAAGCTGTTGCTGCCCTGGGGAATAAAGTTGTGGAAAGCCTAAGAACACAGGATCCTTCTGAAGTTTTGACCATGCTGACTAACGAGACTGGTTTTGAAATCAGTTCTTCCGATGCTACAGTGAAAATTCTCATTACAACAGTGCCACCCAATCTTCGAAAACTGGACCCAGAACTCCATTTGGATATCAAGGTGTTGCAGAGTGCCTTAGCAGCCATTCGACATGCCCGCTGGTTTGAGGAAAATGCTTCTCAGTCCACAGTTAAAGTTCTCATCAGACTGCTGAAGGACCTGAGGATTCGTTTTCCTGGTTTTGAGCCCCTCACACCCTGGATCCTTGATCTACTTGGGCACTATGCTGTGATGAATAACCCCACCAGACAGCCTTTGGCCCTAAATGTGGCATACAGGCGTTGCTTGCAGATCCTGGCTGCAGGTCTGTTCCTGCCAGGTTCAGTGGGTATCACTGACCCTTGTGAGAGTGGCAACTTTAGAGTACACACAGTCATGACCCTGGAGCAGCAGGACATGGTATGTTACACGGCTCAGACTCTGGTTTGAATCCTCTCACATGGTGGCTTTAGGAAGATCCTTGGCCAGGAGGGTGATGCCAGCTATCTTGCTTCTGAAATATCTACCTGGGATGGAGTGATAGTGACACCTTCAGAAAAGGCTTATGAGAAGCCACCTGAGAAGAAGGAAGGGGAGGAAGAGGAGGAGAATACAGAAGAACCACCTCAGGGAGAGGAGGAAGAGAGCATGGAGACTCAGGAGTGACCTTCCCTTCACTCCCTTTCCTCCTCGAGGGAAAGACTGGAGCCTCAGCTGGCTGCCCCTGGGCTTTATTTAGTGGCATCTATGGGGTAGGGGAGACAGCAAGAACAATCTCTACAGAAAGACATGTCATTCCATTGGATTCTGATACTGGCTTAGCAGCCAGAGGTCTCACATGACTTACACCACCCATTGATGATGTATCATGATACCGACGTTTCTTCCTAATACTCTAGAATCCCCAATACCCAACAACCCCTGTAACCAGTACTCTGTTGTTGAAATGTTGTGAACTGTTTTAAGTGTCTGGAGATTTTTTTTTCTAAGAAAAATTATTAAAGTACTTCCTAGTAGGGTAAAAAAAAAAAATGTTATCTTGGGAGAACTTTTCAACATGGATTAGACTGAGTAAAGCATCTTAATAGTACCATGAAATTCAGACAAAAAATGACATTTTTCCTAGGAAATCCCCCTAAAGCAAGTGTAATTTTCACCACCCCCAGGATTTCCAAACTATATTCAAAATTGGGAGTCATGTGTCTCAAAAAAGTTTGACATTTGCTAATATCACTGAGAGTCTGTGAACTACACAAGCAGGGAAAGGAGCACCATCCTTGAAGACTGTTTTAGTGATCTCTTATTCCTTTTATAGATGTTAAAGGGTGACTTTAGCTTCTGGGTGATTCTAGCTTTTTCAAATATACTTTTACTATTAACTCATTTGTCTCAATTAAGCAACTTCCACAATTCACACAGCCAAGTACTTAATATCCCTGCATCATTCCCTCACCTGCAAAATGGAGATATTAATAGCAACTACCGCACAGGATAATTTTAGGATTAAGTTATTATGTAGAAAGTGTTTGGAACAACGCCTTGATACTAAATGCTTAATTCATGTTAGCTATCATCAATGCTACTTTCATTATAATTGTTTTTGTAAATTCTTCAGGTTTCTTTCTATATAGAACTTGCACTTTTTTCAAATACTTCAAATAGGCCAATGAATTCTGTTTCTTAGATAAACAAACCATCTTTCTTTTCTACGTGTGGAAAATATCTTTCTTGGATGTCTTACCAATTTGCTCATAAGCATTTTTTTAAAAAAAGTTATAACTTTTTGCTAAAGCATTGGCTTAGTAAAAAGCCATATGAAATTTTCTCCCTCATGAAATGGCTCATTGCATTTTTATTACTAATGGTTGTATTGAAAATTGGAGGACTTTTTTTGTGATTTTTTTAATGCAGGAAAATCAGAAGTCACAAATCCAGAAGTTAGAAGTCAGTGCACACAAGGAAAAGAAGTTAAGGGATGTCAGTGACTGATAGGCCTGAAGAGTAATAAGGGCTTCCAGAATCACCCATCCTGTCCCTTGCTACTACTCCAAGTGCGGTCTAAGACAGCAGTAGTAGCAGCAGAAGCTGGGAGCATGTTAGAAATGCAGAATCCCAGACCCCTAAACCTACTGAATCAGAATCTGCATTTTAACAAGATTTCCAGGTAATATGGGTACACATTAAAGTTCAAAAAGAGGTAGACATGGTGGTACATGCCGATAGCTCCAGCTACTGAGTCAGGAAGATCCCTTAATCCCAGGAGTTCAAAGCTAATACACACACACTCACACACACACATACACACACACACACACACACGTTCATATTCTCTGGGGGTAAGATCTGGGCAGTGGTATCTTTTGAAAGCACCTCCCAGGAGACTAATGTGCAGCTAGCACTGCTACACACCTACAGAAGAGAAAAGCAGAATGGGATGTAGCGATATGGTCAGGCATCGATGTGGTAAAAAGGAAAGAACAGCAATCTAGGCAGGAGGATGGGTGTGAGCACAAATACAGAGGGATGGCGAAGCAGATGTAAGAGATTTTTTGAGGCTGAAATACAAAGCAAAGAGTCATGAATGGGAGAGGCCAGAAGACAGGCCATATTTTTGGGTAAGGACCTCAGAGTGTATCCTTTACAGGGAGTCTTTGAAAGATTTATATAAGCTTTTAATTTTGTATAGTAGAAAAATTACTCTGTCAATGTGAATGAATTTGATGAAGAAAGACAATTGCTTCTCAGCCTTTCAGCTAAGATCAAGTGTTGATGAAGAAAGACACAGACAGGAAGATCAGTGGCATAGATAGTGAATCATTCTCGGTAAAGACAAAAAACCTAGATTAGACTCACAGTATTCAAGTTACAGGTAAGGAAACAGGTTCCAGAATGAGCAGAGGCAAAGCAGGCAGAATTTGATGGGGGAACAAAAGAACTTTACTACTACCAGGAAATTTTAGAAATTATAGAGAAAGAGTCTAACACCCCAAGGAGGTGGCCTTGCAGACCTACAATGGGACCAGAATGACCTGAAGCTGGCCAGGGAATGGGGTGCAGATGGGGTGGAGGTAGGAGACAGCTGGAAAGTATGTGGAAGACACAGCTCCCACAGTGGTGATCTCTGTTGATCTGGCTTATTTTCTTTGGGAGATTAAATATCAAGACTAGGAGCAGATGAGAGCTGGAACAAGGGCTGTAAATGGTATGGAAGTGGAAATCAGACCACTGTGTCTAAAAGGAGGAAAAAATGAAAGAATTCACTGGGCTGCAAGAGAAGCATAAGGAATCAACCTGCAGGGGAATGGTGTGAGGCAAGGCTCAAGTTCAAGGGGTTCAAGTTAAAGTTCAAAGGGAGTACTATATGTAAAAGAGGCCTAACCCCAGCTCTGCCTTCATCAACAGATTTTCTTGCCTTAGATCTTCCTGAATCCTCTCCTATCTGCTGAAAACAGGAGCACAGCCTTTCTTCCTGCCATTTCTGCAATCTGGAATCATGTCATTTACTTAAAATGCATCGTGTAACTGAGTTCAGTCTGGCTATCACAGCTAGAGACAAGGGTCTGATGAGAGAGGTTCCTCAACCTCCCAGAGATAGGAAATGGAATTTGGGGCCAGTGTAAAGCAATAAAATAGCCCCTTTCAGCACAATGCTCCCCAGACAGTTCTCGCAGAGACTTTCTATTTGCAGCATATCCAAGTGGCTTCTGGCCAGTGTCTCCCCTATCAGGGTTTGCAATATACCAGGGAGTTTGTGGTGAGATGCCTGCGCTCCTAGAAAAGCAAATTAATCATTTGCTTTTGAGACTCCTCTACTGAGTTTTCAAGGTCATTCCTAACCTAACTTGTGTAACCTCGCCCCCTTCCCGACACCAAAGCTCCAGCTCATTGCTATGCATGTGCTTTTTATCCTTATTCTTTCTTCACCTTGTTTGGATTCCCTCCCTCGCCCGTTCACTATTCCAGGTTGCTGCTCAAGGCCTGGCTTTTCCAGGAAACTTCCACAGTCATCCTTCAAAGTCATCCTCACCCCCTCCTACTCGCTGCACTGGGCCAGCATCTCAGAACTTCATCACACCAGGCCCCCAGAGAGTTTCCTGTCTGTCTGCAGTTTCTCACTCCCCTACCACGAAAGATTCCTTCAAGTCAGGGGCTGAGACTTTTTCTTTTGTATTCTACACAAAACTCTGAAGCCAGTAAGTTTTTTCTCATTTCTATCTTTACTTCTCATCAGTACAGGAGTTCTTAGGTGGAGGGTTTGATAGAATAGATTATTTTTTAGTAATAAGCAAGCTTTGGTGACTTTTAAGAAACAAAAAACAATAGGCAAAAATTTCAGTTAAACTCCAAAGGAGAAATAAGATCTGAGGTTCTATTACACAGCAAGGTCACTATCATTAACAATAACATATTATATGTTTCAAAATAGCTAGAAGAGAGGATTTTGAATGTTCTTACCACAAAGAAAATATGGTAAAGGTTTCAGGCAATGATATGCTAATTATCCTTATTTGATCTTTATGCAATATTCATGTACATATGAATAAAATATGCCCTGTAAATAGTGCAATTATCATGTGTCAATTAAAATAATAATAACTGTGAAGAAATAAACTTAAACACAAACTTACTTGTTAACTTTATGGCTCCTTACCATATCTTGGTCCTTCAACCTGTACCCTAAAATAATAGAAGAATGGTAATGGTAGCAAGTCATAACAGCTTTATTTTTTTATTGAGTTTATTGGTGCTTTTTAAGAATACAGGACAGTTACACTCATCATTGGGATCTTGTACCTTTACATGATAGATCTTAGTTCTCATTTTTCCCCATACTCCTGCCCTCCCTTCACCCCCCCACCCTCCTCTATTACAAAACCTTTGTTTCCATTTTTCCATTTTCTCATATTTTCTCTTGTCCCTTATTTCCTTTCCCCTACCCTTCCCACCTCCCCCACACCTTTAGCCCTTTTCTTCCTATGTCACATTATCAGTTATACAATTTGGATCTTACTTATACTTTCAGTTTTTCACACCACAGAAACTATTCAATTTTTTTTATTATCATACATGTGTGTCCTATTTATTCCACTTAAGAGTATGTCTTCAATATGCATCCATTTTCCTATGAATGATTTTAGTTTCTTTTTCTTTATGGCTGAGTAGTACTTCATTTTATAGAAAAACCACATCTTCTTTATCCAGTCTCCAATTGATGGGCAATTGGGCTGTTTCCAAGTTTTAGCTATTACAAACTGCATAGCCACATTATTAGTAGCAGCAGCAGCCTTAGTAGTAGTATTATGAAGTATTAATCACAAGAACATTAGCAGCAGCAGTAATATCAGCAGTATTGGTAGTAGAAGAAGCAGCAGCAGTAATAGTAAGTGCAGTATTAGTAGCAGCAGCAGTATCAGCATAGTGATGCTGGCAGCAATGGAAGCAAAGCAATATGAGGTCAACAGAACTGACCCAACCTGCCTCCCCTCACTACTTTCCTGCCTTCCCTCATCTACCACCTTCCCCTCACTCTGTATTCCAGATGCATTGACCTCCCCGTTGGTCCTTGAACATGCCAGGCACATTCCTACCCGAGGGTCTTTGCTCTTGTGCTTCCCTCGACTGGAAGTTCTTTCCCCAAATATGTACCTGCCTTATTCACTCACCAACTTCAAAACTTTTCTCAAAGGGATCTTTCCTGGTGAGGTCTTTCTGACCACTGCATTTAAAATTGCAACCCATCCCTTCACCTGCCCCTAGGACTTCCAAAGCTCCTTTCCCAGCCTGATTCTTCTCCACAGCGCACACCACCATCTCACAAACTGTAACTGTTGTGTCCCTTTATTTTGTTTGTTATCTCCATGAAGGAAATTTCTGAACATTATTTTATTGCTGGGTGTTACTTCCTAGAACACTGTCTATTGTGTAGCGGGAGGACAAAACTACTTATTAAATGAATAAAAACAGAGCTTCCCAAA